GCAATCCCGGTTCTCCGCGGCGGGAGCACCCCCAGGGCGGGAAGGCGCACGCGGGACTCCCGGGGACACGCGCCCGCCGCCGCTTCCCTTCCCCCCTCCCCCCGCGCGGCCCTCCCGAATCCACGGGCGGATCCGGCGCCCCAGGCCCCGCCGGGCCGCCTCGCCGCGAACCAGCGGCTCCTACAGCAACCCCCCTCCCCCGGCGCGGCCGCTTTCCCCCGTCCTCCTCTCCATACCCCCTTCCTCCTCCTCCCTCACCACTTCCACCCGGGCCGCTTCTGGTCGTCCCCGTCCCATGTGTGTGTCCCGCCTCCCCAATCCCCTCGCCCGCGCTTCTCCCTCCACCTCCCTTCTCCTCCTCCCCAAAGCTCCAGGGCAAGCAGCCTCCCCCCCTCCAGCCGGTCCTTACTCGGGCGGTCGCTGCTCGGGCTCGGCCGCGGCGGCCATTTTGAACTTCCGAACTCCTTCGCTGCCGCCGCCGCTGGGAGGGGGCGGGGGGAGACGCGGGGCCGGAAGTGAACCCCGCGCGCGGGGCCGAGAGCGAACCCCGCGCGCGGGGCCGGGAGCGCGGCGCAGGCCCCGCCTCCCCCCTCCCGCCTCAGGGTGGCGGCGGGAAGGGGTCGGGAAGGGATCGGGCTGAGAATCAGCGGGGTTGGATGAGGTATTGGGAGCGAGCTTTTCGCCGTGAGGGCCCTGAGACAGAGGAACACGTTTCCTAGAGAAGCTGTGGATGCCCCATCCTTGGGAGCGTTCGGAGCAGCCTGGTCCCGTGGAAGAGTATCCCTGCGCATGGCAGGGGGTTGGAACTGGGTCAGTTTTTTCCAACCCAAGCCGTTCTGTAATGCTGTGGTCCTGTTGAAAGACGTCGCTCCGCTTAATTTGCCTTTCCCGGCTCGGCCTGGCTGTGCCGGGCTGAGGGAAGGGGTCGCTGGGGCTCGGCCCTGTGTCTGGGTGCGCTCCGGTGGTGGCTCCTGGGCTGGAAGGAGGGGGCAGGTTTCTCACGGCATTCTCGCCTTTTAAAACAAGTATTAGATTTAAGATCACTGCTGCCTGTCTGGTAACAGGAGCTGTTATAAACTTAGCATAGAAATGACGTAATATTGCTAACCTGTATTTCGTTTTTAATTTCAGCAGGTGATTTGAGCAGTCATTTATGGCATTTTTTTCATGCAGGACCCTCACTTCTTTGAGATAGTTGTAAAATCTGCAGACATTCCCAGGGCTGGAATCTGAATCTGGATGTCGTTGCTTCCCAGACTGTAGATAAGACACTCGAAATCATGAAGTGGATTTTATAATTGTCTTCTCACAGATTCACAGATTATACTGAGTTGGAAGGGATCCACAAGGATCTTCGAGTCCAGCTCTTAAGTAAATGTCCAGTACAGGGATTGCATCCACCACCTTGGTGTTACCAGCTCCATGCTCTAACCAACTGCAACTCTGGAAAATTAACAGATTTAACTACAAATATCCATATGTTCTGTCAATGAACCCACACATCACCATGAGGACATCACAACATCCCAGCTGTATGCTACTTTGCTTGAGGATTTTGAAGCCCAGATTGCCTGGTCTGGTGGAAATATTTCTGGTGGAGATACATAGGTGCAAGCTCTGCCATTTCACAAGCTGGATCAAAAGTAAGATCAGGAAACACCTGGCTCAGATCTGTGAAACTGACATGGCATGTCAAATTTCAGGCTGCCCTAAAATGGACCAAGGTAAAAATGAGCTTTGGAGATGAAAAGAATGAAAACAAAGAAAATCTTGCAAAAAATTGCTCTTTTGTTGCATGTGTCTCAGGTGCCTTAAAATAAGAGTCCTTGCTGTTGTGACATGAGCCCAAGCATAATCCTCATGCATCTCACTCCTGTGAAATGAACACCTTGTTTGGAGAAGTAGCAGCTTATTTTCAGCTTGAGGAACCCTGCAGTGCTGACTTCTCTTCCATATTCCAAGAGGAAGGACAGATAAACCCAGTTTATGCCTCTTAGCATCTGTCATGTTTCCTGTGTTAGAATCCAGACATTTGCTGGGGAAATTAAAAACCCCTAAGGCTCAATCAAGGTGTAAACATCCTACGAAAATCAGTTGAAATTCCAGTTGAAACCTGGATCTATAGGCTCAACTCTCCCTATGGAAGATGCTCGTGCCTTAAAGCTGGGTTCTGAGAGAAAACAGCATTTCTGAATGTGTGAAATGTAGCACTAGAGCCACAAGATGCTGAGAAAATCCATTTAAAGGGTCATGATGTCGATCGTGGCTTTAAATGTGTTTATTGTCATATGACTGAGTAGATCTTAATGGAAAATCATTGAAAATCACACATGTGGATAAAAGAAACCTGCCAGTGCTTTGTCTGTGAGAGTGCTTTTATATCACTTTATAAAGTGCCTGGAAAGTGCACAGAAACATCCCTCAGAGGTAACCTCATCTCAGTGCACATCATCTGAAACTGAGCAGATAAGCAATTTTCATGTAGCTTGCTTGGCATTATCAGGATATGGTTATGTGCCCACACAGTGATTTTACCAGTAAGTCAGGTTTTATTTTTTGCTCTCATCCAATTGTCTCCTCAGCTTAAACTTATTGCTGCAAATAATTTTGTTTGGTCAATGCAAAATGTGTTGGAGCCTTTCAGTATGAACGGTAAATGCTATTATCAGAAGCTACTGTAAAACATCTTCATGCTGGTTTGAGTAAAGAAAACATAAGAACTGTAAAAATTCTAAAAATTTGTTGTAAATGTTCACATTTTGATGATGTTCATTCTGCAAAATCCTTTCTCATTTAATATGTTGGATTATGGCTGCTTCTATGAGTAGTTGAACATCATATTCCAGCAATTTCAGTATTAGTACCTTTTTAATGACTCTTAACATTACTGTGAAGGTACTTCTATCTAGGTGAATGCCTTTTAGATCAGAATTTGGTGACATTTCTTATAGCTAAATATTATCTCCATTGATATATGAAAGACCTTGAGTAGCATAATCTGTCTCCTAAATCACGAAAGAACATTGTTCCAGTACTCTAGTTCTGTTCCCCTTTGCATGAATTACTAATGTCACTTTGGTACCAAATTACACTTTTTTCCTCATTGCTTAAATACTGCTTCTGTTAGTAATTTCAAGTGCTTTGCCCTCCATAAAACTATGTATGTAGTGTTCACCTTCATGTCTGTAGGTAAAAATCTTGAATGGCAGTGCACAAAGGTAGTCTGGGCATTTTTCTGTTTAACCATTCAGTATTGCAGGTGGTTGCAGTGATTAATTGATTTTAGCAAGGTTGCCCTGGCTGCTGCTGTGATATAAACCAAATTCTTGCTTTGTGGGTTGAGCTACTGCTTTGGTTCTGATTGCTCAGTATGGCCAAGTGAAAGAGCAGGTGGTTGTGAAATAAGGTGATGGCTCATGGGTGTGTGCTGGAGTTTGTGGCAGTGGTCAGGTGAGGAAACAGGCAAGGTTAGAAACGTGGAGGAATGTGGAATGACAGGGCATCCTGTGGTTGTAGCCAGGCATCTGTGTCATGATGGAGGGTTTAGATTAGATTTGGAAGGGCTTTGATGGAAAGGTTTAGATTGCATTAGGTGTTAGGCTGTCTAGTTTTGATGCCTTTGTTTTTGGGATACATGGGCTCGTTCTGAGGTTTTTACTGCTTGACAGGGCAGGAGATAGAATTTTTAAAAAGGTTATAGCAGAATTTCTGGAGGAAAAGTAATTGAGAAAATGGAAATTTTTAGAACTAAAAGCAAAACAGGTTTTTTATTTGCTTCACAGTGAATTATAGTGTCCCCTTTATTGAGACTGTAAGCCAAGAACAAAGCTACAGTCCAATATAACTTTTTCTCTAAGGGGGTAGGAAGGAAAGCACATGGAAAGACAATTGAAATTGGCAGTATTTCAAAACAGAGATGACTACAGCAGTGAAAAAAATCATAAGTGCTTATACAAACTGTTATTTTTTTAAGTGAAAGGAGAACTGCTTTTTATTAACAAATTATAAATTATTTCTTGAAATGAGTATTTTCATTCATTTCAAGGAAGCTTTAGTGTAAAATTATAAGGAACTGTTGTCTGCTGATTCCTTGCTTGAGGACTTGATACAGTGAGAGCCTTCCTGCTGGCTATGAGGATGGTTTTTGAAATAGTTTTAAGCACAGCTTCTTAGCACTAAACTTGTGTTTAACTTCGTACCAAGTTCTCACTGTAATTGCTAATGTTATTTGGTACAATATGTTTGTTGTAGCTTTTAACCTACTTGAAAGCCTAACTGGTTAGTGGAAAGCAATCTCCAAATTGAATCTTAAATCTTAGAAAAAGAGTTCAGAAGTTGCTATGAAGTTATTTTATATTAAAAGCTTTACAAGAAAGGGTTGGTGGTCTTGATTGCATTTCCCTTTAAACAGAAATTCTCTGGGCAAAACCTGCAGCCTCCTACCACTACTTTCTCCAGACCAAATGTAGACTGTCAGCAGATGTGCTTAGAAGAAAATGGACACGTAAAGTGTGTTGTGTCTGCCACTAAAAATAATCCTTGAAGCTTGGGTATTCTGAGATATCTGTTCCTTCAATATTTTTCATATGCTCCATAATTTACAACAAAATAATTCCACTGCAAGTGCATATTTTGCTAACTCATTTTTAATTGTGGTTTGAAATCTTTAAGAGCTCCTTGTTATCATGTTTTTGTTTTTGTTCTCTTTTGACACTTTGAGTTCACTAGGCATTCTTAGAGCTGAGCTAACCTTGGATTTGCTGTCAGAGCCCCCATGGTCAAATTATGTCATCATAATAAATAAATTACTCTTTCTTCTTAAATGCTGTGCATCTCAGCCAAATTTGGCCTCATATTGCCTAAATAACCACAAAATACTTTAAAACTACATAGGAGTTCAGTTTGAACATTTATGTTAATAACTTTAATGTGGATAAATGTCTTTATTTTAGATCAACGTATTTTCTCTGGTTCTAAGCTACTGCAACAAAACCATGGCTTTTAATACAGCTAAGGAATGGATCAAGGTCTGCAAGCATCTGTGCAAGCATAGGTACTGTTTCTAGCTGTACTGAATGCAAGATGTGAGTTTTTTTGCAGTTCTTTTTCTTTTTTTTTCTCTTTCAGTGCTAAATATTTGCGAAATACAAGTGTACATACAAGTAAATTTGCTTTAATTGAGGGAAGAAGGCTTTAAAACTCATTAAGATAGATTAGAACAGTGGTTTGAAGGGCAGGGAGGAAGGATTAGGAACTTCTTAGAGTTTGCTTGAGGGCACTCAACAAGGATCCCCGTCTTTCCAAGGCAGTAGGTGGGCTGGGATGTGGCAGCTGCATTGAGCTTGCAGCTGAGCAGCTCTTCCATAGGTAGAGGAGAAAAGGCAACATTCAGTGCAGGAAATCTGGATGGCAGGACATGATGAGATGCTGGGGTTTTGAATACTTCTTGGGTTGATTTGAGTTTCTGATGGGCTCATTTTGGCAATTGATTATTGCTTGGTTGGATAATTAGCTGTCAGTTTAAAAGGAAATTCTGCCTTGTTAAGTTAGTAGCAGCAAGTCACTTCCTTTTTCCAGTGTTGCTTCATCTCAGTGAAGCTTTATTTCCATCTGCAAGAGGTAGAGATCCTTGCTTCATGCAAAGAAGACTCTATAACCGTATCATTTTGTTGTTTGTTGTGTTGCTAAACTGGGGTTGGGGATGCTGTACTGCTGAGAATGTCAAAGCTGAAGGATGCTTCATGTCTGAAGCTTTTCTGGCTTTAACTTTATGTTAATGTGACTGGAGTTACACCAGAATTGTAATACTCTTCATGATGACCATCTAGGTTCAGTATTCAGTTTAGATCTATTTTTACCCAAGGGTTTAGTCTCTTTCTGATTTCTTTTTGGACATTTCACGATGTCAAATGAGCAAATCAGCCAAAATGATTCAGCCAATTTTCTAGAAGGTATATGGGGAAAACTTTCTGTTCATGTTTTCAAGTAGAACCTGCAAGACTGTGGATACCTTCCTAACAGTCCATGGCTTGAAGGAAATACGTACCCATTCTTCAGGAGGTGTCTTCTGTTAGAACAGTTGAAAGGCCACATTCCTGATGGAAAAATCTGTTGAGATTTGGCCTTTTCAATGTCTCTGAAAAATGCAGTGAACAATGGCAATACCTTACTGCAGGAAGCTAATTGTGACAGACTGTTTTAGGGAGGCAGGGACAGGAACTAGGAAAACTTGCCAGTTCTTTTGGCACCTGGATTGCAAAGGTTTTTAATTCTTTTGTTGAAGGCATATAAAAGGCTGCTGAACACCAGTGAGGCTGGAAAACCTGTGAGCTGTTGCCAGAGATAAAGACGAGATGAGGAGATGAACTTAAGTAGAATTTGTGTTAGGAAAAGTGATAATGGGTCATGGCAAAGTGGGCAAATAGTAAAATAATGGGGATTCTCAGAAAATGAGAATAACTTGGGCCACAGTTTGGTCTGAAGTGAACAGAAGGATTTAGTCTCAAACATGTGAACCAGCATTAAATTAACAGGGTGCACAATCACTTCCATTTACTATTGCTGCCATTACTCAAATGACAATTAGTTGAAGCATCAGAGGGTTTTGGTGTGTGTGTGTGTGTATATAAAAATTCCCCAATGTGAAACCTGGCATTAATGTTTTAACTTCTTAGGTATTTTGATTCCAAAAATGAAACCTAAAACTTGTTGAGTGTTGAAAAGAAAACAAAATCACAAGAAAAGAAGAAATTAAGAGAGCTCTCAATACAGGTAAAAAAGCCAAGCACTCATCTGTGTGGGTGGGTACACTTGCAAAATCTTCAATTGCCTGATTTGCCTGTATGCAAATTTTTGCTCCCAGTGATCCTTTTGAAAGTCAGTGTGTAGAATGGGTAGTGCTTCATTAGCCTTGCTTTATTCTTTAGAGAGCAAAGTAGATATACAAAAAACAATGAGATTAAGGTTACCAAGGCAACTTTGATTTTTGCAATTTAACTTTAATTTTGACAATATTTAATTTTTATTTCTTGTCTTAGCAACCTTAATGAGTTGAGGCTTGGAGTTTTTTAATCCAGCTTTTATATTATGTTGTAGGAAATATGTTGGGAATGTACCTTAATATACTAAAATAAATGACCAGAAATGCTGTTTGCTTTGTAGTATGTACTGCTGTATGTTCTGAGTTACTAGGTTCTACATTGCTATACCCCATGAATGTGCCATACAGTGGCTATATAAAAGTTCACGTATTTCTTCCTTATGTCCTGTGACATGCAGACCCTTCCAAGTTACTGGCTTCAGCTCCATCACAACATCCTTACATGTGTTGGTGGTATCTTGACTAAACCATGCTGGTGCACACTGAATTGGAGAGTCAGGTAAGTGTTTGTTTATGCTTGAATACAGCCCATGAAAAAAGCAATAAGATTCTCAAATATTTTTTAATCTGTATGTAGTCACATGTGACAGTGTTCACAGGGGTTCTTGGATGAGGGAAGAGACAAGAATGTTGACTCCATGCTCAGAAGGCTTGATTTATTATATTATGATATATATATATATTACATTATAACTATACTAAAAAGAAATAGAAGGAAAGGTTTCCTCAGAAGGCTAGCTAAGAATAGAAAAGAATGAATAACAAAGATCTGTGGCTCGGACAGAGTCCAAGCTATCTGGTCTGTGGTTGGCCATTAATTGTAAACATTCAAGATGGCCCAATCACAGACACACCTGCTGCATTCCACAGCAGCAGATAACCATTGTTTATGTTTTGTTTCTGAGGCCTCAGCTCCTCAGAAGGGAAAAAATCCTAAGAAAGGATTTTTAGTGAAAGGATGTCTGCGACAGTCACAAAACTGGCAATTCATCCTCCCTTTTCTCTTAGTCACTAGAGACTCCAGAATCCAGCAGTATTTGTAATCTGATGCTTGCTATGTCATCACATTAAAAGGTGTAGGCAAATTAATAAATAAGGCTTGGTGACACTGGGTGAGGAAAAAGTCTTTAAATTTTTCTTTCTGTAAACAGCTGTCTGCTGAAATGTCTCACATGATCAAATTCTGCTTTTTACAAATTATCTTCAGAGTTGGTACTTCTGTTTTGAGATTGATTTATTTATATAACAGCTAACATCAGCTTTTATCTCTTGTTTGTAAGCTTCTGGGAGGGTGGTGAAAGGACAATTTTTGATATTTTGGTACTTTGTTGCTTGTACAAAAGCAGTAATATACAAACTATGTCAGCACCAAAAAAAAAGAGTCAAATTAAGTTATTCTGTGCCAAATGATACTTGCATGGTTGAAAATATTTCATTTACTCTGAAACAAACACTGGGTATCTTCTCAATCATGTAATGGGCTTTTTACCCCCTAATTTTATGAAGTATGGTCTATATATTTAAAAGTGTATGCAGCACTGCATTTCTTAAGACTATATCTTGGTTTGACATTTCACTGATCTTTGTATTAGTCTTAACAACATAATTAGCATTTTATGTTATTTTAACAATTTTTGGATATTCGTAACATAATGAAAATAAACTCCTTGTAGCATGGTAGCTGTATTATGCAAAAAGGTAGTTGTTCTTTGTCTGCATGTATTATGATCACTGGAAGTTTACAAGAGGAAGCTTAGAAAAGATAGGAATGTTAAAAATGTGCATTGTAGGATAAAGTTTTTATATGATAAATACATGGTAATCTGGTAGAACAAAGCGATTCAGGTCAAATGAAAAACCTGAAAATCATATTTCTCCTTACTGCATTTTCACTTTTAAAAAGAAAGGCATATTTATTGTCATGGCAAATACATGAAACATAGTAGTAACTTTTCAGATGCTGTCATTTTAATGATTATAGTGATTTGTGCTTACCTAATTTTGTTTTTATCTTTTGTTGTGCTGAGCAGCACTTTAGCAATTTTATAATGCAACTGTGCATCCAGTAATGATAATCTGTATTTCCAAGATGTGTGTGAATGGCAGTTAAATAGTTCTGTAAATCACTTGACTATTGATTGTATTTGCAGTATACACAAAAATAAAACAGAGCAGTTCATTCGTCAAAATTACTTATCTTTAACTTGCATCTAATTTTGCCCTACAGGTTAAAAAACACCCAAACAGCACAACAATGAACAAACAAAACCAAGTCAAACAAATTACTTTTCTCGAGAAGCTGTATTTTATGTGTGTGTCACAAACATAGCACAGAATGAGGAGCAAGGTTTATATTCTCTACAGCTTTGTCTTTCATCACCTGACATTTTCATATCTCATTTTTAAGTCTTTCCATGACTGATGGTATTATAAAATATTGGTATCATGTATTTTGGATTTCTTTTTCAATTAGTTTACTTAGCTTATTTCTTAAATGGCAATCCAGAGAACAGTTGAAGGAGCAAATGGAAAATTTCAGAGCTGCTACCACTCTTTTGTCTTCATTTTGGGATCAAGTATTCAAAACCAGACATCAACTGAGAGGACATCACAAACAAATCTATTGTGAAGAAACAACAAACCCACAAATGAAAGAGAATAAAAAAGCCTGAAGATAATCCTGTGTGTTTCAACAAAAAAGCAACTTGAAAGAAGGATTCAGGCTAATTTAAGTGTAGCATGTACAGTAGGTATGATCGGTATTATAGCAAAACTTGCTATTTTGTTTCTTAATTGCAGAATATTTGGCACATATATTTATTTGCTGATTTACTTACATATTTTTGTAAGAAAGTTGCTCTTTGATAGCCTAAATAAAAATAGCTGCCTCCTACTTGGTTTGTGATATTACCAGTCTTTGGAGTAAATTAAGCATTTGCTGATCAAAAGGTGCAGCTAAGGTTCTCTGCTATAGTTTGTTACAGGCAATAGCAAAGTACAGCCCCTGAAATAGACTCTTTCAGGAGTCAAGACAAATGCTGTGAGATTTCTTGGAATTCTGTAAGTTAACTAGGTGAAAAACAGCTTCCTTTGGGTCATGGCTGCATTTTTAAGAGGACTACTAACTAAAGCACCAATTTTATCAGTTAGTGTAAAATTCTACTTATCTGCACTTGTAAGAGTTAGTATCAAAACTTTGCCTTACCTCAAGTGTATCCTTTCTTCCTAAGAGATTTTGAGAAGGCATTTGATGTTTTCCTGTTATTCACAAAAGATCTCTTTTTCTTTGATAAAGAAGATAATAATCTCTAGCAGCCACCTGTCCAGGAGTTGACATTACAAAATATTCTGATAGCTTTTCTAATATTTAGGTAGAGAAGCTTGAGTACATCTCTTTCTCTAAGTTTCTTCTGAGTATGTACATTTGGCTTGGGGTGTTTTCTCTTTTTGTTGTTGTTTATGGACATACATGTCTGTTACATTGTCAGAAAACATTTTTACAATAGTTTAACAAGAGAAGTCACTTTCTTATTTTCACAGTTGTGTATCATAAATTAATTTAAATCATCAAAGCTTTTTCCCCCAAAAAAGGTTGGATGATTTGAATTAATTTATGATACACACACAAAAAAGCTTCTTTATCCCAACTGTTTTCTAGGACTTAAATAATTATCTATACTGAATCTGGTTTTCCTCATTTGAAGTTGTTATTGATCATGTGGAAAGAAAGAAATGCATGTTTTAGTAGCTCTCTGAAATTGGTATAATAAAAAGAAAGCACAAATGCAATTTGGGTTCAGCTAGTCAAAGGTCTAATTTCCTGAAGTGGGCTAAAGCATTTTTGTTAGTAAGTAGGGAGCAGACCAATGTGCTGATGATATACCTTGCTCATAGGCATCTGCCTTAGGGGCTTTTTTAAAATCAAGTAGTCAGTAAACAGAACTTATCTCTGTTTTATGTGACAGAAGTATAATGTTAAGCACTTTACATCAGTAAAACAGTTGCTTGTGGAGTTACACTGGAGTATGACAACCCACATTTTATCTGAGCTTACATTTGAAATGTGGCATCTGATTTTTACAGCTCTGTTTCGAAGGAAAAAAATGAGCTTTTATGGACTGGATCTCTGGAGCTCTCTTTGGAAGAGGGAAATTAAGAATTTACTTGAACTTTTCATACCTACTTCTTACTCGAGCTTTGCTTGACTTTTGTACAGCAAAACAAACTTCGTGTCAACACTCTTCATTTCCTACAGTCCCCCTGAGGTGCAAACTCGTAAAACTGGCATTGGCTGTAGTCCCAGCCTGCAGGTGTCCTGTAATTCTTTCCACTCAAGGCCTTGTCCCCACAGCAGAATGGGATCTGTTGGGAGTCACAGCCAGCTCAGTGGTGTGTCCTGCGGCACACATGGAATAGCTGGTGGCAGAAGGGTGTGAGGATAACCCTGCTGTGCTCACTGTGACTGAGAGCACAGCCTGGGCCCTGCACACAGCTCCAGAGTGCCAGAGCAAGCTGCCTCATTTTCTCTTCGCCCCTCTCGTTATGCCCAGATTACAGATGCACATGGGAAGTATATTTTAGAGTCTATGGATACTGCAAAACTTCAAGGAATTCCTTTAAACTGAAAAAGATCTGCTGTCAGGAGGTTACCAGCAAAGTGTTGGACTTGGAAATCCAGCTGTGTTCCTGGCCGTCCTGTGGCGCTTTGTTTGTTTTCCTCCAGGAGGGGGCAGCAGATAAACAACATCGGGGGCTGTTTCTTACTTTTCAAACGCTTTCCAGTGTCCTGCCTGTGAATCACAGCAGGGGCTCTATACTTACGGGAGGGTTTATAATTATAATTCTTACCTGTTTGCTACGAGGACAGCTGGAATGTGTGAATCGGAAGTCTTCATCCTGTTCAGTGTTAAGCAGTAGAATATATTCAGCAAAATCAATCTCAAGTTTATAGAAAGGGCAGTTCAGTATTGAGAGTTAAGATTTTATGACATGGCAGTAGGTGTGTATATATTTTAGAGGATAAAATAACCAAGCAACCCAACCCCATGAGCTTATTAGTTAATGTCACCTAAGTCTTACTTAACATCTTTCAAATACTTATTTTCTATCATGTTATATATTACAAGTCAAAATAATGTTCTCATAGTTTTATTTTCTGATGAGAGAAAAAAGACTAAGAATGCACTGAATCTAGGGATGCTTTTCATTCGTGTGTAATTAATGTGCTCATGTACATTCTGTGCTTGTGCATTCTGCTGACAGAGCATAGGAGTTAAAGTCCTCAATTCATGGCAGTGCTAATGATGCTAAAGAATATAGCCAAATTTTATTGCATTATTTCAGCCACATAGTGCAGGTTTATCATCTAAAACTTTATGGAGGTGTACAATATTACTGATTGGGAGTATAGTGGAGTCTTTTAAACTGTAGGGAAAATGCTGATTATTACATACCATTGTGAATTTCTTACAAGTGTGTGGCTGTAATTCTGTTTAAGTTACAGATCAAGCAGTTAACAAAAAGCTACAGAGAGAGAGCAGTCAAGACTTTTCAGCTGCTAAATTTTATCCAGTAGTTCATATAAAGAAAGAAAAAACATAGTGGCTTCTGTGACTATCAGCTGCTATAATCAGTGTTCAGTAGCTAACTGGGAAGAATTAAACTAATTCCTAACAGGACTGATTCACTGATAGACTTGCCTTGGTGATTTTCATTAAAATTGTGTTGTAATGCATGTGAGACCTTTATGGAGCCTAAAGCTTTATCAAGTTGACTTGACATTTTTTTTTCTTTTCTGGTGATTTTCCTTTTCAAAGATTAAAAATGTTTAAGAGAAGAGGAGGAGATAATTACAAAGATTTATTCAGAATGGCACAACTTGCCTTTCAGAATTGCCTTTCATCTTAAATACCACTCTTTAAATCACAATTTTTCCATATAGGCCCTATGGTTCTACTGAAGTCACTGATTTAGCACCTTCTATGCATCAAACACTTCAACAACTCCCCTGAGTATTTAAGTTCCTTCATGCAAGTTCAGGGCTTTTATTCTTTAAGCAATGTAAGCTTTATTTTTCTAGTGCAGGAAAGATCCACACAAATAACTGAGGATGAAATTCCCTTTTTCCTCTTTCTTGTTTTGAATACCATTGCATAAAATAACTCTGTGATTCATTCTTGCTTTGTGTAGTAATTAGCAGGAAGACTTTTACCAGTAGAAGTCTTGAGCGTAGTATAAATTAATTCCATAGTATTCTAAAATACTTGATTTTCTGAGTGTCTGGACTTGAACTGCCTTTGCAAATATGTCATTAAAATAGCTCTGATTTCCTTATAGAGTGTTTAAAGAATGAGTAATCCTGTTTATTACGTCTAATAAATGAACGTATTGCAAGTTTTTGGGAATAGTATTTACTCAGTTATTAATTATTTACAGTGTGTTTTGAAAGGACATTGTTTCCTTTTGCTGGAAAGGTCAATAATCCGGATAGGTGTGTAAGCACTTTTTAAACCTGCTATAGTTGGTTTTCACAGGACAAGGATTTTAAACTTTTGTGCTTGCATTCTCTCTTTGAAGTTACTATGTGTTAAAGATGTGATTTTAAAGCATAAGGACTCGTGCTTGAATTTGTGAGCAGCCAGTGCTTCCTCTGTTGTTCCTGAGGTATACTGAGGATGGTGAGGGGGATAATCCAGAAAAATCAATGAATTTGGGATAACATCTGTAATCTGCATTGGCTTTTGCAAATGTTTTACCATTTCCCTTCCAAGGAATTTTCTCTTTCTTAGCACTTACATATTAGCACATACATAATTTTCATATGGAGTTTTTTTTCCCCCTTTTTAAATAAATTCCATTTGCAGGCCTGCAAGAGTAACAGATCATATAGCAGAAACAAAAAAATTCTAGAAAACTTTGGTAGACCATTCAAACATCAAAATAGAATAATCCAATATGATCGTGTTGCATTATGCAGTATTGGCTGCTAGGAATTTAATTCAACACAGCAAACCATGGCATTTGGGGAATATAAATAAATAATTGAAACATAATAAACTGAAGTTTTTCATTGTATACAGGTCTGATAAGAATCTTTGTGCTCTTATCTGTCCCACACTGGTATGAATCTTTCCTAACTAATAGCTTTAAATACTGATGATAAAACACATTAAAAGCCTAAATTAACACAGCAACTGAGAAATGTAATCCCTTTAGACCTCTTACACAGGAAGAATAGGTGATGATTTTCCAGCTGTGACAGGGTTCATTTCCTCTCTGACAGGAAGCATTCTTGTAGTTAGCTTTCCAGAAACCCATGGGAATACATGCTGGCATCAAAGCCCTTCATTGGAAATAGGGAACAAGATCTCTCTGACCCAGCAGGTGCAAACACAGGTGAATTGCATGGATGTCCTCTTCATGTTACCACTTATGTAAATTGCTCAGGGAGGAAAAATAGTACTCTACTGTTGAGTATTGAGTGCTGTGTAGGAGTGATTATTTTTGTGACATGAAAAGGATTTCTAGGAAAAAAGGGTATTTTTCCCCTATTGATAGTTTTTTCTCTTATGTTGAATATGCAAAAACCAAAAACTGTGACCCTGATTTAACAAAAGCAGGTGAATTTTTAACTGATGGTTTTTTTAATGGCAATTTGGGATATTGATCTTTAGGATATGTTTGATCCTAGTTTAGAATTTGTGTTCAGAAGCCACCTATGTAAAGATAGAAACACTGCGAAGACAAGGACTACTTACGTTCCTGCCTTGTTAACTGAAAAGGGCGTCTTGGCTAGTTCAGAGGGATGTGGACTTTACCCACAACTATTTTTTTCTCTTCTGCTACTCCACAGCCAGATTAGAAATAGGAACGTCTTCTCAAAACTTCTAAAAT